TCATCACAATAAGTTATACCTTTAAGACATGAACTACAATAACATACAGTGTTATTAGAGAAATATAACGCAGGAAGAGAGAGCAGAATATAGAATTGTAATGGGAAAAGTTATGGTAAGGTATTGACTGAGCAAAGATCAGGCTACATGTTAAATACAATTACCTTATTTCTGTTACATATGGTGTTTTAGTCAAAGTAAAGTGCATTAAAAACCCCTCAACTTAATATCTCTCTATCTTTGGATTTTCTATAGAGGCCATCTGTGTGGTATCCAACACTGAGGGAAAATTTCAAACATGGGTGCCCAAAGCTAGACCAGCTCAATAAAAAGAGCCTGTGGTTCAGAGATGCCAAACACCAACAGGAGTAGTGAGTGCTCAGCATCTCTTAACATCGGGCTGATTTATTTAGGTGGCTACACATGAATTTACAGACCTTACTTTAGGTACCCAATTTGAAAATGCAGCTTTATTATTTTTTTCTTTATCTTTAAAAATAAAGAAAGAAAGAACAGCATTGTAGTTGTATTGGTCCCGGGATATTAGAGAGACAAGGTGGATGAGGTATTATCTTTTTCTGGACCAACTTTGGTTGGTTCGAGACAAGCTTTCAAGCTTATACAGAGCTCTTGCCAACAGAAGTTGGTTCAATAAAAGCTATTTCCTCACCCACCTTGTTTCTCTAAAAGAAATTTTTTTTTGTTTTGAAATGCACCATCAGGATGATTTTGAAAAGGGAAAAAATGGTTGCCCCATTGCTTACGATAAGAAAAACTAGACTGGGTCAAAATACTAGCAGATGGAACATAGGAACAAGCATTCACCGGCAAGGATGGAGATGAGCTAATAGGTCTATCCCATCTCTAATTGCTATGATCTTGTAAGTAAAAAAGGACTCTGGCTGGGGACTTTGGTGGGGAAAAAAAGTATAAGAAAAAAAAAATCCAGAACATGAGCTCCAGCATCTAGTTTATCAAGATAAAACATCATGTGTATACTCCCATGGATATACTGGCAGCATGTGATAAGAAACTCTTTGCCTGTAGTTAACATCCATAACACAGAAAAACAATTTGGAGAGTTTTCTTCTCAAATGTGCCCAATGGTTAATGTAGCATTTTATCAAAACTTGACTTTTCTCATATAAATACGTCAGATTGTTTACATAGTGCGAGCCTAGTAAACACTGCCTTGAAAGGCTGCAAATGTGTGCTGGGTGCATATTAGAGATGCAAGTGCCATAAAACTTATGCACAGCCCCCCTTATGCCTTTCATGCCAGAACCTTGGTTCTATTTTTTGAACCAGCTGTGGAATCCTGTGGTGTAGGGGAGTCCCTGGGTGGGATAAAACCTATATGGCTCACTCTACACTACCTGTTCTCATGGCCCGGCTTAGGGAGTGGGGCCAGAGCATTCTGGCATATTGGCTATTTGGGGCTATTACAAGTTGGTGAAAGTTTGCCCAGCCCTTAGCCTGTTCTCATGTAACCACAGGCCAGTTTGGCCTTAAGCCAGCTCCAAGAACATGTGAGATGGAAAGGTCCTTTAAAGACATCTTTGTTTTGCCCACCATCAGTTGCACCGATTGAGTCTTCGTTTTCTAACAAAATCTGTGTTTTTCCAAACTGGGTTGAACAAAATCCAGGGAGGAAAACTAGTCTTGTTAAAGCATTAGAGAGCCAGGAGTTTCAATTCCTGATTTAGCTACAGGAATGGACATTAGTAACCCACCAACCCTGTTGTATCTAAGTTTCCCAACATGAAAAATGAACAGGAGTACTTGTGGCACCTTAGAGACTACCAAATTTATTAGAGCATAAGCTTAAGAAGTGGGTTGTAGCCCACGAAAGCTTATGCTCTAATAAATTTGTTAGTCTCTAAGGTGCCACAAGTACTCCTGTTCTTTTTGCGGATACAGACTAACACGGCTGCTACTCTGAAACCTGTCAACATGAAAAATGAAGATGATCATGCTTAACCAACTTTGCAAAGCACTTTCAGATCTAAGAGGTGTTAAACATTATCATTATGAAATAAACCCTCTTCAGATGTAATATCTGGTTAATTAATGTTTGTAAATTCTTTTGAGAACCTTGGTTAGGTATTATAGAGGTGAAAGGTTGTTTTTATAATGACTGTGGCTCATCTAAACCCCAGTTCCAGTTCCCTGGAACACAGTTAAGCATGTGCATAAATCCCTTTGAAAAGAATGGGACTTAAATAATTGCTCAGTTGTTTTCATAAATTGGGTTGGATGTAATCATATACTTAAGCGCTTTTCTGAAGAGGGCCACTAGTGAGGTAAGGAATACAACTTCCTGCACAAGAGAGTCAAAAATAGAACGATTAGGGCAAGAATTACAATATTTCTGGAGTGATAAATATAGGTCTTCCAAGCCATGCATAGCACAGTTCTCAGTTTAGCCACCTGTGTCTGTTGGTGTTCTTTGGCCATTCTCAAGACATACCAGCAGGCCCGCTGATCAAAATACAATATAATTTTTCAAGTATTGATGGATGTCAAAGTCAGAATTTTAAATCACTATACCTTTGTGACACTCTGCCCCCCAAAGCAACACTCTGGCACTCCCATAGGATTATGTTATGTTTTGTGCAAAGTATGCCTTGTGAGATATCATTCTAAAAGCCTTAATCTGTTGAACGTTAATATCCTGTTGGATTGCATGTGCGGTCATTGAAGTTATGAAGTTTTGCTGTGTGTTACTGAAATATGTTGTGAAGTTGGAAACACCCACAACCGGCCTTTCAGGTACAACAATGGGGCAGCCAGAAACTGATGAATACCCACACACACAAGGATTACCCCAGGAACTGTATATAATGTAAACCTCCCAGAGATAGCACGTACACAGTGGAGGCTGCTTGACTCACGTCATAGCAAAGGATCATTCCAGCAAGCTGGAAGAAGCTATAAAAGGGGGAAGTAACCTCATCATTTGGCTTCACTCCCCCCACAACTCAACATCTGGAAACATGTCTAGAAAACAAAGACTGAACTGCAGAGGTGGTCCCAGGCTGGAAAGGAGAACGCCAGCTAGTATATAAAGGAACTATACCATCATGGTGAGACACTGCTTGATTTAAATCCTGGCTAGTTTAATGGAACTGAGATTGCTTTTTCACTTGTTATTTCTTAGGTAACCAACTTTGATCTGTACTTATATTCACTTAAAAATCTTTCTGTAGTTAATAAATCTGTTTTATATTTTTTACCTAAAACAGTGTGTTGCTTGAAGTGCAAGGGAAATCTACTCAGGAACAAGGGCTGGTGCATGTCCTCTCCACATTGAGAGAGGGGCAGACTGGGTAATAAAATTACACTGGTCACGCTTCTGACCAGGGCAAGACAGTACAGCTCTGAGGTTCTAGGCTGGGAAGCTGGGGGGGCATTGGTTGGAGCCTCTGTATTGTTGGTTCATGAGTGGATGGCAAAAGCATTCATGTAACTCAGCTGAGTGTCCCTGCCTGTGGGTGGCTGTGTGAGTGCAGGACCTTGCAGCTTGTCACTGCATCACAGTGTGAGAGGGAGCCCAGGTTGGTAAGACAGGCTCAGTGATACCCCAGTTCTAGGTTGCACCCCGGGGAACTCATCACAACCTTTACCTAAGGCTTTAAGCCTGGGACATGAGACATGCTAGATATATAAATACATTTGTTATGTGCTCATGCTCAGTGGTGAAGTTCACTTTGCCAAGCTTGAGTATGTAGGGGTTGATACAACAAAAGTACCCCAAAGCCAGGGCCTGCAGACAGTCCTGTTCCTCCAGCTCATGTGGTGGAAAAGCAGCTGCAGCCTGAGCTACTTGCACATAAAATAGATTATCTGACCCCCAAGGTTAGCACCCGTCACTACTCTCCATGGGCCACTACTGGTGTCATAGCCCTCTCATGTGGCCTCCCACATGGCCACTTTTCCCCAAAGAGCCCAGATGGTGCTCAGGGTCCTCTGCAACCTGATACAGGGCTATAACCTCACAAAAATCAGCCACAGCTGGAATTTCTCAGCCCTTAGAAAGAAAGAGATCAATCTTGCCATCACAGTCAATGGGAGAGTTGCTAGTGCCCACAATCAATGGAAGGCTGAGCCATAAACCATGGTGTATATTTAATAGTTCCTGTAGGACTCTGATATTTAAACTCTGCTTGAGCTTGAAAAAAAAACAAAAAACAATTCAATCTGGTTCAGATCCAAAGGCATCTGGGATGAACATTGAACAATAAACCTCATCTAAAGCCTTCGACCAACTTACCTCCCCCTTTTCACTACCACCACAGTTGTGATGACTACGCAGGTGGTAGGGAGTGGCCTGAGATGAAAAATAGCTTGTATGAGGGCAAAAGGCACTCTCTGTGAGGGGTCCTTAGGTTTGAAAGTCAGTCCAAACCAGTCCCAATGTGTTGACCTTCAGGACATGCTCTAGTTCCCATTTGTTTTTCACTAGTGTGAGAGGACTCCATGGGAAATTATAAAGATTGTAAGGCAGGAAACGTCTCGGGTGCTGGTCCTAGACTGTGGAATTAACTCCCCCAGGAACTAAGGTTCTCAGATACTAGCGTGATGAGGGTGGTATGTAAACTTATAGAGAACAGAAAATTCTGAATATGTTTTTGGCTGCTGAGTTATTCCATGTGTTAATTATTGGGGGAAAAAGGTGTTACTGGAGTAGTCTGTCTTTTTAAAATGCACCCAGGAGTGCTTAGAGCAAAGGTTAGGTTCTCTCTCTCTTCCCCCCCCCCCCCTTTTTTTTTTTGAATGAGTTTATAAATCAGAATAAATAAAATAAATCTGCCTGTAGTACAGTGCAAACGGCCTCTCTCCCACCCTCTTTATCCCCTAAATAGTGATACCAGAACTCTACGTGATCCCTAAGGTGAAGCAAGGAAAAGGAAAACATCTACTAATCCCCATAACTCCTGCCTTCGAATACTCAGCTGAATTTTCCACCGAGGAAGCTTGCCTTGATACCTATAACTTACCTCTTCTCGATGTTCTTCTCCAAAGCGTTGAATATACCACCTAATAGAGGCTTGCTGGGACTTAGGAATGCATTCCAGAAAAGTTGAATTAAATTCAATGCCAAAAATCACCTTTTCATCAGCAGTTTCATGACTAATGCCTGGAAAGCAAACATGGTACAGAAGATTAACCCTGACCTGATTTTTAAAGCAATGATAAAATAGACTGATTCAGAACAGATGCTATAGGAGCAAGTGAATTATAAAATAAGCAAAAGGAAACTTAACTTTTAGCTTAAAATCTAACAGCTAGGACTTAGAGGCAGCTGCTAACTTTCCTCCAATGCAACTGTTTTTTAGAGCAGTTAATAAAATCTGTACCACTGACTTAAGTTTAAAGAGATACAGCCACTGCTGGTGAATTCAATATTTTACCTGCATTTTTCCTCTGCTCCATCCTCTGTGCACCCAGTGGAGACTAAGCAGAGTAGAGGTAGGGTAGCCATAAGTGCTGGTTGTAGTTCCATCAATTCTGAGAGCCACCAGGGACTGCTTTAGCACCCTGCATACTTTAGAGCAGCCTCAAGGCTACCTGAAATCACTCCCTTTTAGTGGTCATCTACTAGGCAGTTACTGCTGGAGCTCAGTGTGTTCCAGATAGGGCACTGAACTAGAAGTAAGGAGACTTGGCTTCTTCTCTTGGCTCTGCCAATGACCTTGAAAAAGTCACTCCACCTCTCTGTGCTGTTGTTTCCCCTCCCAGCCTTTGTCTGTCTTGTTTATTTAGATTGCAAGATCTTCAGAGCAGGGATTGCCTCTTGCACTCTGTTGGTACGGTGTCTAGCACAATAGGGCCCCAGTCACAACTGGAGCTGGGAGGTGCTATCATAATATAATTATTATCTATTATTAATACTTATTATTATTAATCTGCCAGGGGCTGGAAGTGGGGTGGCACAAGGCCATCTGAACCTGTTTTACAGCACCAGGGGAAATACCCACCTAGCTGCTAAAGCTAGCCATACATTCCATTTTTGCCACCATATTGGGGCTCAGGATTGAGTTTATATTAGTGTAACATCTAAGTAATTTTGTATTTGTTCATCAAAGACAATAACTTCAATAACCATTTCTCTACAAAGAGCTACCTGACAGCAGCAGTCAGGCTGGCATCCCTACAGTAACCCTATGCTCTGTGGCATATCTCAGATACCACTATGTAGTAATTGTGGGGTGGATCATGAGAGTGCAATCCCAGCCCCATTGAAATCAATGGGAGTTTGGCCGTTAACTTCAATAGAACCAAGATTTCACCCTGACTTTTTAATGATCCCTGCAGTATATATGCACAGTGAGAGCCCCGTATACCATGCAACAGACTGGTCTTTGATTTCACGGCAAACAGCCCTAATTTTTGCCGCAAAATATGCTGAGTTCCGCAGCAAGCTTCCAGCACCACAGTGATGTGAAAATTATCAGAGATAGATCAAAGGGAACGGCTTCTACTAGGTCAAAAATTAAACTTGGCAATACTATCAATACTGTTGTGATTAGGGATGTAAATATTGGCTAATAAAGTTAACCGGTTAAACAATTACAATGATATCATTTAACTGGTTAACCATGAACTGAGGTCACTCCAGCTGGCCTGGCATGGCGGGGGCTGGGGTCACTCCAGCTGGCAGCACAGTCCAGCGTGGCCGGGGCTGGGGTCACTCCGGCCCACCTGGGGTTCCGCCAGCCCAGCCAGTGCAGCGCAGCTGAGGCTGTGGTCCCTCTGGCCGGCCGGCCCGACTTGACCAGGGTTGCTCCTGCCGGCCCCACGTAGCCGGGCCTGGGGTCCCCCCCGCTGGCGCAGGGCTGCCGGGATTAACGGTTAAGGTCAGTTAACAGTAAGCCTAATGCTAACTGGTTAACCGTTTAACCTTTTACATCTCTAGTTGTGACTGGGCTGTTCATTTTAATAATTGAATGTAAAAACCCCAGACTAACTCAAACTTCAGTTTTGAAAGCTTTTCATTTATTTTACGCTGCCACAGAAATTGCAGCGTAACCGCAGGATTTAGAATTGACAGTACACTTTGTAAGTGAACTGCAGCAGTTGCCAAGGGAGTGAGCCAGACTGTTTGGCAGCTGGGAGAGGGGGATTTCTTGTTGAGGGAAGGGGAAGGCTCTTGTTAATAGGGGGAGTGTTTAAGTAGCTGCAGGGAGGGGGAGCTGGAGGGTTTGGCAGCTGGAACAGGGGTTGGGACTTTTGTCAAGTGTGTGTATGTATTAGGGGAGGAAGAAGGAGCATTTCCTGCTTCCTCAGAGGTTTTCTTACTTGGATCTCTCTCCAGATACTCTGCAAAGGAGTGGAGGTCCTGGCATCTCACTCATGGTGTGGTATGGGGTATTCATATCTATTGCCTTATTTCTCCCCTCATGTGGGTTTCTGGTGGTATCTCCCTCCCATGGAGTGTGTGGGGGGGGGGGGGTTGTTTTCGCCATTTACTTCTTTTAAGTTCCCATGGCTCAGTGAGTCTAACTGCTGGATGAGGGCTGAATGGAGAGTATTTGGGGATTCTAACTGCCTCGGCATTAGCTGCCCAGATATCTCCAGAGGCCTAGTTCCAAAGAGCGTAGTAAACAGACAGACACACTGACCGTACACATTTTGTTGGAGGAAGAGGCGCAAATGCTTACTTTCTTCCACATCCCAGCACTGGGTGACTGGGTCTCCATATCTGACATCTTGCCTCCTGGCTCGCCTATAACACGAGCATTAAAATGTGTAACACTTGAGGCATAATTGCTGGAATTCAGTAACAAAATGCAGAGGAGCTCGGCAGATGTGGGACCGCAGCACTTCTGCCCTATCGTTGGCAATTACAGCCCTAAGTAAATCCAGCCTCCCTCTCAAGTGGCATGTGGCACAGAGAGATTTGTACAAATGGCACAGAGACAGGCCGGTGATTTAAGAAAATCACTCTGGGGAGAGAGATCTGCCTAGAAGAGGGTGAGGAGGGCAATCAAGTGGCAGAGACAGCTTCCAAATCAGCTATAGGAGCTCTGCCAGATCCAAAGGCAGAACAGATGTTGTGATCTGGTGGGCCAGATCATCCTGGAAACCATCAGAACCCTCAACACCTACGTCATGTAAACCTACGAGCTTCAACAGACCACATTCCTGACTCAATTCAAGGCCAACACAGTGTAATGTCAACTACTGAATTTTCTAAAACAAGCAATGCTGGCAAAGCCTAGGTGCTGCTTCCTACGGAACAGTTTTGAGAACAGCAGCTACAGCGTACGGTTTGGGGAACTTTCTGTAGAGATGAACAGAGCAGGGGATTGGGAGTCAAGATTCCTGGATTCTTTTCCCAGTTCTGCTATTTAACTTGCGTAGTGATCTTTGGGCGAATTACTTAACCTCTCTGTGACTGTTTTTAGGTTTCATTACAATAATATTGATAATACTTAACTCTTACGAACTTTCATCCGTAGATCTCAAGAGGATAAATCTGATTATTTTCATTCTTCAGATGGGGAAACTGAGGCACAGAGCGGCAAAGTGACTTCCTTGAGGAGACACTGCGAGCCAGTGTCAGAGATGGCAATAGGCCCTTACAAAGCACAGCCATGTCTAAGTGGAAGAGCTGGCTCCTGATGCTGATGTGTCCATTTGGAGAAGAGACTTAAATATGCTGGGAGCAGTGTGTGCCAGATAGCTAAACCGAGCTAAAGGAAAATACGCAAGTAACTGACCTATGGAAGGTGCACAAAGCAAAACATCAATCCCTTCTTCTGGAGCCTCGCACCCACAAAGCTTTGACCTATCCACCAAGCCAGGGAGCTCTATAAATAAATGAGCCCTCGTTCTCGGTCTCCGCATGCAGTGGAAAGAAAGCACTGCAGCCTTCAGCAACCTCATGGGGCATAACTTCTTCATTGAATCTTAGCTTTTATATTTCTCTTCTCATTTACATTTCTCTGTATTTATTCTAGTTCACTTTGGCTTAGGGGAAAATGCACATGGTTGCACAATGAATGACACAATAACCTGCAACTCATTAACTACAATAGTTCATTTCATCGTTTAGGCCCAGTACCGCAGTCCTTACGGAAGCAAAACTCTCATCAGACAGCAACCATGGGCCTTTATTGTAAGCAGAGCTGGGCAACATTTTTCGGGTGAATTGTTTATATGCCAAAAAATGCAGTTGTAGCCAAAAAATCTTTCGTGTGGGGGGGTAGGAGAGAATATTTTGTAATATTCTGATTCAAACTAAATTTTGTTTCAATTTTTTGGAACTGCCAGCAATCTGACCTGGGAAAAAATGCCTTTGCAACCTCGCATGTGACAATCAGTTAAATCCCATGAGCACGAATTATGAGGACTGCCCACAGGACAGTTTCATCGAAGGGGTGGAAGAGGAGGCTGAGGAAAAACCTTGGAATAGTGGCATGAACTGAGAAATTCTGGCTGACCCAGTCAGAATGCTAGTAGGGGGAGCTAATGCCAACTCAGTAACTCTATTAGCCTTCTAGAGTACAGCATGAAATCCCTCCATCTGGCTCAGGGAGAGTTCAGATATGGCTCCCGTGGTCCTTTCTCTTTTGGGAGGCTGGGGCTGCAGTTGGTATTAGCCCAGCAAAGCACTTGTGTAACCTATACCAACACACTATGGTTCTCTGTTCCTCGCTAGTCTATGGATAGAGGTTTGTAAACTCTAAAGCACTTGAGCCATGAGACCTGTGTCTTTTAGCTCAGCTCATCCTTTCAGTTCCTGCTGCGGATGACCCACCCAGGGGTATCATGTGATAGTCACACTCCCCATTGTGATTGTGCCTGGCTCCCATGCAGAGGCACAAGAATGGGAGGCTCCTTGAATCACTTCCCTCCTTTGCACACTCATGCAGAGCCAGACACAATCTATCCCTTAGCCTCATAACTTGGTATCTTAAAACATGTAGCATAACAATAAGTATCGTGATCTTGTTATGTTAGACGCCCTAGCGCAGTTATCGCTATTCATATTAAAGTGCTGCACTGTTTTCATAGCACTCCCACCAAAACATGGACAAGGTTATGTCTACAATTTCCCTAAACAGCATGCTCAAAAAGTGCAACTTGTTTTCGCTGGCCTAGAAACTCAGTCGGAACCTCTGAAGCCCTTAATGTAGAGAACATGAGTGGGTGGATTTTCCATAGGAACTCTATACATATGCTTGCTTACCTTTTAGAAGTTGGTGCATATCTGGAACATGAGTTTCCATCCCAAGCGCAGTATGGGTCTCTGGCAAGGCAGCAGTCTGCACAAGCCTTCCCATACGTGTGACATCTGTGCAGGGAGAGCTGAACCAATCCATCTTTGGAACCAATGTACAATTGTTGCTGCAAATCAGGCAAGCATTCTTCAAGCAATTATTTTAAATGTTCTCTTTCTCGCTACCACCCTCGCAATGTTGGCCCAGATTGTATTGAACGGGAGAGAATTTCACATTCATTGTAAAATGTTTCTCAGGGCACTGTGTGCACTGGCCAGTCTCCATCCATTGCAGATGACATGATGTTGGAAAGGGGCTATGGAACTGGAAGGACAAGGATCTAAAACACTGGTAGGATGTTGGCATGAATTTACAGTATCAAAAATGAGCAGCAATCCACAACAAAAGTAACTTTACTAATAATTTGATAGAGGAAGATAGATCTTGATGTTAAGCTCAACAGCTGTGGGGCTCATTTCTGGTTTATGTCTTATGTTTCTAAAAGCTCATGCTTCAGAGTTTCAGACGGTCACCTGCACAGGTCAGGAAGGGATTTTCCCCCCTCCAATGTATTTATCACCTTCCTCTGAAGCATCAGGGATGGCTGTGGCTGGAGATGGGATATTGGATAAGGTGATCCAGGGCTCTGAGATGACATTGAGCATTCTCTCTCTCAGGTGCTTGGCTGGCTGATTCTTGCTCACAGGGTCTAACTGACTGTCACATGTGAGGTTGCAAAGGAATTTTTCCCCAGGTCAGATTGGCAGTGACCTTGGGGCTTTTTGTCTTTCTCTGCAGCATGTAGGTGCAGGTCACTTGCTAGGATTACCTGGGTATATCTCACCTAATCATTTCCCTGCCATTGCAGGGACCTCAGGTACTGTGCACCTCGGGCTCTCGCCTACTCTCTGCCTGTAGCACATAACATTCAGTTTCCTGTGGGCGGTAATACTTTGTTCTAATTTCAGTTGTTGGGTTTAGTGTGCGGGTCCTGGGTGGTGGTGGCCTGTAACATACAGGAGGTCAGACTAGATGGTTTGGTAGATGGCCTGTAACACACAGGAGGTTAGACTAGATGGTTTGGTGGTCCCTTCTGACTTTAATCATGACACTGACCTGGAATACATGATATCCGGATAACCTCGGGCAAATAACTATACCACTCTGTGCCTCAGTTCGGTATGTAAAATGGGGAATAATAATACTTCCTTTCTCCCACCGTTTGTGACTTGGGTAGTTAGACTGTAAGCTCATAGATTGGGGACTGCCTCTTACTATGTGTACGCACAATGCCTGGCACCGTGAGGCCCTGATCCCTATTTGGGATCCCTAATGGTGCTGCTTGTAATACCGCTACTATAACCAATAGTAAAATAATACTAATGTCTCGTTGAATTGATAGATTATACAGAGTCCAATTTTTGTTGTGTCTGGAAAATATGTGTGTATTAACTTAATTCACAAATCCCACATCCATATGACTAAGGATTTGTATCCATGAGTAATTACCAGTTTGGGCATACAAACTACTATTTGCAAGCAAATGTCAATTTTCCAGGCAAACTAGTTCACACTATACTTTCCAGATGCAGCTTAAGTGGCAGCCTTTGAAAGTTTGGCCAATAAGCAACAGATGTCACCAGCAAAGCAACAAGCTAAATGCTCAAAATACCAAACTATTCATGTGAATTAAACAAGTGTGTGAATTACCTGCTTCAGGGACATCTCCATAGTTGAGATAAATGATGGATGCTGAAAAATTAATGAGTGAATGTCAGTGTACCTGTTCATTGACATTTGCTTCTGTCTTTAATAGAAAAGATGACATACCTTAATACCTGCCTAACAACAAAATAAATAAAACTACAGATCAATTTAATTGGTTTATGCAGATGTGAAAAAGAGATCAGAAATTATGACTGCCAGCAAATATTCTCTGCTACTTGCCAGTAGATGACTTTTATCCAGGAAGATTGTAATTCACCCTGCACAGAGTGCCAGCACCAAGTCTAAAAACTCCATTTAAGAACTATTCTGAAGGTTTAAATGGGACGGAAGGGATGCACTTTACTCCTCTGCACCAAAGGTGAATATTACCTCTAGTGAAGTGAGTGGATGTTGTGCCAATAACTGTAGTAAGAACAGGATGGTCCTGGTATATTATTTATGCTCTATCACATAATGCAACATCTAAGCCTATTGTTTAGTGTTGATGTGACTTTAAGAATAATAAATAGTTTGCAGCTGCTCTCTCCTCTTCAATTTTCTGTATTAAAAATATGTAGAGGAAATATTTATAAAGTAGAGGACTGTCTGCTGAGCAAACCCCAACCCTTTTAGTGTTAAATATGATATGCCATGTTTGCCCTTGACGTTATGTTATAAGAATGCAGCAAATTGGTGTACATACTGAAACTCCTGATTACTTGGCAGACTGTCGAGCAATCTTGATATTTTCAAAGTAATATTTATAATTGGTGTTCATTGCACTGGAAAGAGGACATTGAGAGCCTTTAGGATTCTCATCCTATAGATGATGTATCAAAAGGCACATAGAGAGATTAACTCAGTAATATCAGTTTTACAGAGTCCGTACTAATGGTGGGTGAACTCATTGTGTCTGATTTCAAACCCTGATTTTGGGTTGGAAAGTTTGACTATGACCCCACTGTTCTTGGGCTCACACTGTCCTTAGGAGAAAGTCCATGAAAAAAGGGCAGATGGTGGGGAGAAAGGAAAACACTAACAAAACAGTAACGTGAAAAATGAAGTAGAGCTGGACACAATGAAAGGGGAACACCAAGAGACTGCCAAAAAGGAGGAGAGAAACACTTGAATGAAAAAATAAATCAGCAGACACATTCTATTCTCCATTACACTGGTGTAAATCAAAATCAACTCCATTCCATCAACAGAGTTAATCAGGATTTATGTCAGTGTAATAGAGAGCAGAATTTGGCCCAATATAGATACCATTTATGGGCAACTCACTGGTGTTGGCATGACTTAGTGGATTTCTTCTCTCTCGGACATTCTACCAGCCAACCCCAAGCACACTAAACCTTGAATCAAGCTCCAAAAAAACCCACCCCAAAACAAAGCAAATCAAGAGATTGATTTAAAAATAATTAGTGTTTAAAAATAATAGATATTAGGTTCATTTTATTTGCCTCATGGTTATTGTTTCTTTGTTTTAAATTTGATTGTTTGTGTTTTCAAGGTTTTCTCCACAACCATGAGGCTTGAAAACATTTTTCAAATGATAACGGGGATCGCAGGACTCCAGAAGCTGAGGCTTTAGGACAAACACTAAAAATCAAGCAGTGTTGGTGAGACATGATAAAACTGCAAGAATTGGCAGCAGTTTCCTAGGAGCTTGAAAATTCATGTTCTTTTTGATTCAATCACCTTTGGAAAACCAAAGGATCTCAATGTTAAAAATAAAATAAGTTTGGGAACTTGCACTAGTTCTGAGAAATGAATTGCTTCAGAGGTTGAACTCCACAAGGTTTAAAACTCCCCTAAACTATTCTCTGATGATGTTTAAACACCCAATGGCTGTTAATGCTTACCTTGAAAATCTGCAGCTCTTCCACAGTCCACTTCTCCTTTGTAATGCCACAACTTTCAGACCGTTCCTGTGTCTGAAACAAAGGTATGTAGTATACAAAGCAATGCTTGTGTTTCAGTATTTAAGTACGGTTCTGTTTCTAACTGACTTTGTATTAACTCCCCTTCCCATTCTTTTTCTAAGTGATGCTCTAAACATCAGTTAGAAAGAAGATAAAAAAAGAAAGAAACTAGACATCAGAGATCATGCTTAATGTATCCAGGAATTCGCTTTCTAAATACATCTATCCATCCTAGGTACTTGTATGGCCTCTATCACTATAGTGTCTGTGCAACTCACAATTTTTAATGGATCTTAAACAACTGTTTTTTCTTAACCTCAGAATACTCTGTGAGACAGTGCTATTATCCCCATTTTACATATGGGGAACTGAAGTACAGCAAGACTTGCCCAGTCTCACAACAGAAATTTGTGGGGGAAGCAAGGATTTGATCTAAGGTCTACTGAGTCCCACTCTAGTGCTTAGCTACTGGATCATCCTTCTTTTTCAGTAAGAACGTATCTATTTAAACAGCTTTAGGGACCACAAAGGTCCTTTGCTGAATAGGGAGTCTTAGTGACTACCTATGCAGTGTGGTGTGATCAGACTTAAAACGGAATTGAAGTGCTTTTAAAATGACTCTAAACAGTTGTTTAAGATCCCAAAGCATTAAGCACCTGCTGAGGCCCAAATGTGGGACATGTCGTGTGACAGTGACCCAAAGTCAGGGATACAGAAATGTAACTCACGCAAGAAATTTAAATTGCAGTGGGATCCTTTATTTTAGTTTAAATAACTCTTTGGATCACCTCAGCTCCAAGATTCTGCATTTCTGCTGTAAATCAATTCCAACCATAACAGTGAAGGGACACTAAAGCTGTGTGGCATTTAAGTATTTGGGATTGCAATGAGTGGCACCCCTGAAAATGAAGCCCAGTTGAGAGGTGTGCCTGAACAAGGCCCTTTGCAACACTCACATCCCACTTGGCCTAAACACGGGACTCATGAGCTGCATAAAGCCCTGTGCATGGGTTGCACGTTTTCCTGACAGAATACAGTGCACATAGGGAGGCAGGTTGGAAGTCTAGTGAACTGAGTATTGGACTGAGCGTTAGGCATGCTGGAGTTCTAACCCCACCTCTGTCATTGACTCCCTGGGTGGCTTTCAGAAACTCTGTGCCTCAGTTTCCCAAACTCATCAGGAATTAAAACACCTCCCTACCTCAAAGGGAAGATAAAATTCATTGATATTTGCAAATCCCTACTAAAGATATCAGGCTCGATCATCTACTTGGACTCCCCAGTGCTGTACATTCCAGTTGGTGGAGTCCCACCATTGCAAGGGAGCTAGCCAACCCTGCCCCCAAAACACATAGGCTGGTGAAGGGACATGGCCTGGATGTCTGGAAGATGCAAGGCAGGACTGAATCAAGCCCATTCAGTACTAAATATTATATGTAGTTTTAAATCAACATATAAAACAAGTAGTATTAAAACGACAAAAATACATTTTAAAGCAAAGTAGGAGACTACAGCTGATGACTTCAAGTGGAAGTTAGAAAAGGTCACTACCTGCCTTCTGTGTTAGTAATGTCAACACCCTTATCTAGGGTTGCATAGATACAAAGGGCTGCAGCTGGAATATCTATACATAACAGGCAGCCTTTCTAAATTCTCCAGCAGCGTTGGTTGAACACATTCAAACATATTTTAAGCTTCTGATCTTCTGGTGACCAAAACCTCCCAAGTTATTTGGTGTATTTTTATGCACTCATTATATAATCTTTGAAATATTATCTTTCAGCCTGAATTTCCACAGGATAGATTTAAATATAAAATGAAATAAAACCATGTACTTCTGAAAAAAGAAGAGCTCACTTTTTAAACTAACAGGTGCTGTAGCTAATAATTTTCTCTACATTCAAATTATGGAGCACCACCTAGTGACTACATGGTACCTAGCCACCTCTAAATATCTAAAGAAGAATTACATTGAAGAATTAGATGTCAGTGCTATCTATCAATAGCTAACCCGACAGGAGGTTAGCTATTGATCTAATATAAGTTCATTCTGTATGAAAACCTACTGCAGTAGAGGATAGCACAAAACTGAATGCAGATTGTAGAACATGCCAAACAATATTCTCTGTGTTAGGCAACAAATCTACCTTTTCTGAATCTATGTTTAATTTTTTCATAACTTTTCAGCATGTGTAATATGAATGATTGTGTGTGTGTGTGTGTGTGTGTGTGTGTGTGTGTGTGTGTGTGTATGCTTCAGATGTATCTTTTATACTTGAATTGTAGGGGTTTCACAGTATTTGAAAGTGCATGATTATTTTCCTCCTTTAATTGCTGTCAGAAAGACTTCATTCAGAGGCAAAGCAATGAAGGTTCTCCATGATTGGGCAGTGCTTGTTCCTGGACAGCCAACTGTGCTGTGAGAGCAAGCCACACTAAAGTTCTTCCTCATGCTAAAATCCTAGTCCATCTCACTCTCGGTCATGCTGATGGGACCCAGCAAGCTAGTGAAGATGCTTCAGCAAGGTGGAAGGCGGGGGTGGCTCCAGGCACCAGCGCAGCAAGCTCGTGCCTGGGGCGGCAAGCCGCGGGGAGCAGCCTGCCGGTCGCTGGGAGGGCAGCAGTCAGGCTGCCTTCAGGGGCATGCCTGCTGGAGGTCCGCCGCTCCCGCGGCTTCGGCAGTAGTTCGGGGCAGGGACGCTGAAGGCGTGGCACCGGCGGACATGCCACCGAATCCGGGTGACCAGCAGACCGCCCACAGGTGTGCTGCCAAAAACCGCCTGACTGCTGTGCGTGGGGCGGCAAAAACCATAGAGCCGCCCCTGGTGGAAAGTGAATAGGCCTGCTTTATAGGCTACCTTGACTGCCCTCTGAGGGCACGTCTACTCTGCGTTTGGGAGTGTGATACGTGTTCTGAGCCGGATGAGTCATCCTTGTCCGGAGTCTGACCTGTCATTACCTGTCAGAGTCCTAAGGGTCCAGACAATCCACACGCAAGGGTCTAACCAGGTGACCCAAGTCAGATATGTAGGCTCCTAATTAAAGCAGAAACTCCAGTATGCTCAAGGTCACTACCAAGGCTGGATTTCCAATTAGGCACAGTGGGCACATGCCTGGGGGCCCCGGCGTTCTAGGGGTATTGCCAAATATGAGACTTTCTAGCCAGGCATAATTTCTTTTTTTGGCAGAAAATGTGCTGCAGTTCCACGTTTCTCCCACCAGAGGCAGCTGTGGCACCAGAAGAGCCTGAGCTGGCTGAGACTGACTGGTCTGGTGGGTGGCGGCAAACAGCTAGCAGGCGGGCGGTGGGTCCATTTTTTCCTCAAGTGAAAAGTCACAGCAGCCTTTTTGGAGCCAAGTTAGGAGGCAGAGTGGGCCACACAGGGCTGATGGGGGGGGTCACAGGGCCACAGGGCTCCAGGCAGGGCCACATGGGAACGTGGGAGCGGGCCCCAGGCAGGGCCACATGGGGACATGGGAGCGGGGTTCCAGGAAGGGCTACATGGGGACATGGGAGCTGGGTTCCAGGAAGGGCTACATGGGGATATGGGAGCTGGGTTCCAGGCTGGGCCACATGGGGACACGGGACGGGGGGGGGTTCCAGGCAGGGCGGGTCCAGGCAGGGCCACATGAGGATGCGGGAAGGGGGCTCCAGGCAGGGCCACATGAGGCAGCAGGCGGCTATAGGCAGGGCCACATGAGGAGGGGGAGGACACTGAAGATGCTGTGCCTAGGGGTACGTAAGGTGTAAATCCGGCCCTGATCACTACCTTGTTGGGGATACCCCCAGCTGCCTGATAGTTCTGACAGACTGCCCCTGCTCCAGCCTGTCCCTGCTCCAGCCTGCCACTGCCCCTGCCCCTGCTCCAGCCACAGTTGGTCACCCAGCTGTCTTGCTAAGGAACAAGCCTTCCAACCTGGGATTACAGACTTGTGTTAGTGGGGCTCATGCTAGTATTCTAAAAATTGCTGTGTAGGCTGAATCTTGAGCTCTGAAGCCAGGGGAGAGGGCTTAAGAGCCAGAGCCACAATGTCTTCAGAGCTATTTTTAGGGTGCAAGCACGAGCCCTGCTAGTACACGTCTGTGGAGCGGGGCTGGGAGGCTCACTCCCAGAAATAGTGGAGACATGCTCTGAAGAGCCAAGGAATGGAGGAGTGTACAGACAGATACCTCTGCGAGGGATGAGGAGATACCAGGCCACCACTAAGACAATGGCAGCATGTATGTGGGAAACCTAGACAGTTTTCAGGGAAGCAGGAGGGTCCCACCATAACCTCTTTGCCACACTTCTCAATGTTTCTGTGGCAGGGAGTTGTAAAGACGGGATTCATGGTTTGGGGGTTGAAATTCAGTGGTTTTTTTGCAAATTGTCACATTGATTTGTTGTCATATATCCTGGATTATTTGCCTAACATAGGCCAGGAAGAACCTGAACTCTGCCTTAGCAAAACCTGCAACATCCTACCATAACCCAAAGTGGACAGTCACAGATGGTGAGAGAAGATGGGGGCAGGTTTAGGTGCCTTGTAAAGCATGAAGTGGGTGCATCCAGGCAAAGAAGAACGCCGAGTATAAAAAAGGAACACAGGCTCAAAGTGTGCATGCTTCATGAAGCTTTGAGCAGAACTGCACCCATGAAAGAAACCACAGTGTAGCTGGTATTATGGATAAACTTCACACCCTGTCTAAATCTGTTCCCAGCTCCCACACTCCCACATGCGCACACCCACACAAATGAAATCTGGGCTTTGCGTGGGGGAACTAAGCAGGGTTGGGGGGAGGAGAAATCCTTCTCCAAGTGCAGATACTCCATGCCTCTCCTGAAGCACTTTCCACCTACTAGATCCAAATAAGCGTGGATCTTTTGGTTCTGCCCCTAGCCATACCCAACACTCCCCTTGACGCCAACATTCTGAGCCAGCATGTTGGCACTCAGGGGTGCAGTGGCCATTCTGCATAGCCACTTCACCCAGACCTTCCCATGCCATCCGTCTCTGGTAAATTTCACCAT